GTCTGCAGTCGAATTTTAAAATACACTCATTATCAACTTGAGGGAAGTTCCTCTTTATTCCTAATTTGCTTACATTTTTTATAATCATAATTGAATGGAGAATTATATCAATTTTCTACAGGAATCAAGATAATTACATCATTTTAAATCTTATTCTCTTAATGTGGTGGATTGCAGAGATTCATTTTCAAACGTCAAGCCAATGCTACAGTTCTGGAAAGAATCCCACTGGGTTATGGCACATTGTCACTTCTCGATCTTGCTGGATTTGATTTGCTAACATATTAAGAATTTCTGCATCTGATGTGAATCTATGTTGTTCTCTAATTTACTTTTCTTGCATTGTATGTCAGGCCTGGGAAGCAGGTTAGCCATCTTCATGAAACAATGGGGTAATGCCTTGTGGGTATTCAGAAAGAATGGTGGAAGTCTGAAGCTTTTCCTTCCTTAGAATATACCAGTAAAGCTACATGTGACTGAGGCATTTTTCTGTAAGATGGTTCTGGTTATACACTCAGGTATTTATGTTTGTGTATGTATGCATTTCTCTAATATACATCTACATGCCTTTAACATATATGTGTGTGTGTATGTGTGTGTGTGCTTATTTTATAACATACACCTTTGACATGGGAATGTATACACACATGTACATAGATCTATCTATGACCCTTGACAAGTACAAAGGTTATCTCAGGTCAGTTCAATCATTTACCAGCTTCTCCATTTCCACTAAAGGCCCGAACCCACTGCTAACATGCTACTCTCCTATACTCATTAGATGTTGGTATTTACAGGGTCTGTAGCGATCCAGGCTTTCTTTTTCCTGGTGGTGCATGGGATTAAACCTGGGATTTGTGCAGGCTGAGCAGTGCCCTTCCACTTTCTTATGTTGGAAATCTTTCCTTATTTAACTTTTGGTTTCTTCTTTGTCTCATAGATTACCTAGAAGTATACCAGTAAAGGCCCAAAATTTAGGGTTCTTCTAAGTATTTTATTATCATTTTCTAACTTAATTCTATTGTAGCTGGAGAACTAAGTTTTTAAAATTTATTGCTAGCTTTTATATTTGACGATTAGATAATTCCTGTCGATTTATCTTCAAATTCAGTTACTTTTCCTTCCTTCATTTCAGTCCACTGCTGAATACCTCCAGTGAATTGTTATTTCAATTAGTTTTCATCTCTGCAATGTCCATTTTGTCCTTTTACAGTTATGTATTCTGAGACTGTCCTCTATATTCATTCATTGTGACTACTTAAAGTCCTGAAATACCTTGAATACTTCTTTTGTTGATTGTTGAGACAGTATCCTACTGTATAGCCAAGGTTAGCCTCAAACTCACTATGTAGTCCAGACTTGCTTTGAACTCATTATCTTCTTGCCCTAGCCTCATGAGTGCTGCATATACAAGTGTTAATCACCATGCCAGGCTAAGTTCTTGAAGACATTTTTAATGGCTGCTTCATGGGCCCATCTGCTGATCACAGTATGTCTGTCATCTAATGGTCAGCTTCTATTAACTTCTTCCTTATCTTCATTATGATTCATTTCTTCCCATTTCTTTAAATGTCTGCTATTTTATTTATTGACTCTTAATTAAGTGTCTGTGTGGTTTTATGCATGTGAATGAGAGTATCTGTGGGAGCCAAAAGGGGGGTATTGAATCCCTCGGAGCTAGAGTTGCAGGCCACTGTGAGGTGCCCAGTGTGGCTGCTTGGAACTGGCCCTGGGTCCTCTGCAAGAGCAGTACAGTCTCTTAATCACTCAGCTGAATCTCCAGCTCCACGTTGGGCATTCAAAAAAATGCTATAGTACATGCTGGTGGAGCCCCTTGATTGTGTGACTGTCCCCTGAAGACTGCTTATCACTCCGTGGGCAGACAACTTGTCTGACTCTTCAGACTGTCACCCATGCAGTGGACGGAGGCTGAAGGTCTTTTCTTTTTCTTTTGGTTTCCAGCAGGAATTGGGTGGTGGGAGTGGGGGAGGGGGTGGTAAACTCACTGGGATGCCCCTACAAGTTTAGTTAGTGATCAGTCAAGGATTTGGGTAGATTTTATAGCGTTTACCTTTCTGGGTCTAACCTCAAGATTTCCATCACTACCCCTGGTGTCTCTACACTGAACTGCCCTCTGTTTCTCTACTGAGGATGTCAGGCACATGGTCTAAGCTGCATGTGGCGACACACAGCTCAGGACATCTATGAATCCAGCCCAACATAAACCATAAACTTACTTAACATATGAGAGTTTTGTCGGGGTTGTTATTGTTTTGTTTGTTTGTTTGTTTGTGGCTCAGGCCTTGGTTCTTGAGTGTAAACCATTGCAGATGACAGTGTCACTTGACAATATCAAAGGCTGGGCATGCCTGCTAGGCCATGGACCAGAGTATGTGCAGGGTCTTCATTTCAGGACTGTATCTTTTCAGTTTTAATATGTCTATTCAGCTTGTTAACATAGACAGTAATAGTCTAATGAAAGTCTACCTTCTGTGTGAAAGTACCTGCCTCTATTATATGCCTTGTGACTCTAGATCTGTGACTCCGCTCCCGTGGTCTTTCTGTACACTTGTTCATTCCTTCTTACACCTAGGAATTTTTTGGTTAAATGCCTAAGTTTTTTTTCCATGAAAAACTATAGTTGTTTCCACAAAAAAAAGTCTGTTTTCTAGGTGCCAAATGGAGCCCGAGGCAGCCAATGTGTTTTAGACTCTACATGGATTTTCCTGCCTATAAGGATGGTGCTGTTTCTGATGTGTCCTTCCTAGAGTGTGGTCCCCTGGGCCCAGCTGAATGAGAGGAGCATTCTCATTTGCTCTTTGTCTCCTGACATAAGATGTTACCAGTGGCTCTGCTTAGCTTGCTGATCTCTCAGAAGCTCGCCTGCTTTAGTTTCTTTCTCTCTGAAAATATACAGCTTTGCAACATGCAGTTTCAGAGACAAAGAATTGCTTCCCTGTGGTTCCGCCTTCTCTCCCTGGACCAGAGTCATGTTGGGCTTTGAGACACTTTGGAACCCTCAAACTCAAGCTCCAAAGCCTAGTGAGACTGGGAACCCACTTCTGACCCAAGGCAGGATGACTGAGGTCAACTGGGACTCATCAAAATACTCTTCTCCCTGGGGTCCAGACCTACTGTGTTTCTCCCTTGGTGATCTTCTGATAATTTAAACCAACTTTTAGTAATTTTTCACCTTTATTACTACTGGAGGTGTGTCAGGAAACAGTCCAAGAATGCAGTCTTGTGAGGAGACTTCTAAATGTTTATGAAAAAACAAAAGTCTTATGACCTCAGTTTCTTAAAAACATGGACTTGTTCTTGGAATATTTTTTTGTGCTCCTCCCAGGTGTAACAGATAGGAGATTATTTCAGATTACTTATTAGTGCTTGCTGTTGTTATTCAAGTACATGCCTCTATGGAAAAGCATGTTTTAGCCACATGTGGCAGGTCCTTGTGATTGTACACTTTATTCATGTGGTTCTTTTTAGCCCTCAGAATATGAATTGTCTGATGCTCTGAATAAAGATGGCTATTGCATGAGGCTTTAGTTCACTACATTTATTGGCTACATCCTCCCAGGTCCCACTGCCTCTAGATTGCTAAAAAGAGGTGGAGTTAAATGGTCTGATAACTTCATTATAACCATAGCAGCTTCCCAGCACACAGCCATGCCTAGAGGGCACCACAGCACAGTGTAGGTATCTTCCTTGGCAGGCAGTCTCAGCAAGAAAGTTAATTTGATGACAAAACAAAGCTTCATTTTTATAGGTACACTTTTTGTTTATCGTCCATCCGTTCGTCCATCTGTCCGTGTGCATGCACACTTATGCCAAGGTGTGCATGAAAGTCAAAAGAAAACATGTAGTAGTAGATGCGCTCCTTCCAGTGTGTGGGGTCCTGGGGATCAAACTCAGATCATCAGGTTTCGTAGAAAGTGCCTTTACCTGCTGAGCCTCTTGGCAGCCCTAAGACTCAGCTTTACTACTGGTAGGCTATTCAATACCAAAATATTTCAAACAGAGTAATCTTTGGAACCTCTTTCAAAGAGGATCTTTTATTATGCACAGCCTGAAACCAAGGTCAGTTCATTTAACCCCTGCAGTGCCCCACTGTTCTTATTCACATGCATTTTTACATGCTGGCTTCCATTGCTTTTGTTTATATGCATTTTTGATTTTGGTTTGAAGCCATTTTAAAGATTTATGTTGAAATCTCTGAATTTATATGAGTTGGTGAGCATGATCATACAGAAATATCAATAAAACCACCACTGTTTTTTTAAAAAGCCATGTACAAACAAACTATTCTTTTACTAATTAATTTTGGAAAAGAAAGCCTAATTGCATAATACAAGATTTAATAGCTGACAGCTAACAGCCAGGCTTGATTCTCTATCATATGATCTAAATAATACCACAGCCCAATTCATTCTGTTTTGTTTTACACAGGGGCTCATTATGCAGCGCTGCTTACCTTGAACTCAATCTTCTCCTCTGCTGCAGAGTGCTGGGATATCAGGTTCACCCTGATATGCTCAGCCCCTTCCTTAATGCATTATAAAGACTGAAAAGGGCATGGTTACCTTAGTAATAATACAAACACTATTATAGCACCTTAAAGAATGCATACACAGCTGAGCACATATGTGCCTACACACAAAACAAACCACTTCTCTTGCACACAATCACTTCATGAATTACTTACATGTTTAACTGGAAGCTTCAGTGAATGCCAGTAATGTCTAATTTGGTTTACATAGAAATTATTCAGAACTGATATTAATATATTCAACCAAGTGCTTGCCTGGAGTATCTACTACTCATTTACTAAAAAAAGGACACATGACCAGCCAAGAAGACCTGCAGTGGTGTGCACTTCCTAACAGAATTGATGAAGAGTGAGTGGAAGAGACAAGAGAAGGATAGAAGGCAGAGAAGCTACAGAATGCCACCACAGAGCATTTTCCCTGGCATCATTGCTTGCTTGGGGGTACACTCACCCCGCATGGCTAGGGGCTTGAGGCTCACGTCTTCCATATCTTCCATCCAGCAGAGTCTGGATTTTTTAGGTGTCTGGAGGGCCTTACTGGATCTGGGCTCCTTCTCTGGGGTGACAGTTTTGAATGAGGGTGAGACGTAGAGTGTTTCCACCGAGGACTGGTTGGGGAACACGGATGCTGACTTGGACATCCTCAAACCCAGGCTGACGAACTCATCTTTACCTGACTGCCTGAATGCCTGCAAAGGTGTCAGTGTTTCGAAGCTTTTTGCAGCTCTCTGCTCTTCCTGAGAAGTTTGTGGGGGACTTTCTGTGAGAGTATTTGTGGTGGCTTTCTCCAATCTCTTGCCTAAACTCGTATTTGTCTGCAATGATGGTTTTTTTTCTGAGGGAGTAGACACAGCATCTGTAAAATAGCAAGTAGCCCCAAATTAAAACTGAAACATTCCATTTAAAATCCATTTTAATAAATAGGATCTTTCTTATTTAGTCTTCTGCTTTCCTACTAGGCTGGTATATTCTATTTCAAGCACCCCCAAGCTATAACTGATGCCTTAGTCATTTGGTGGCTGCCTTTTCTCTCTCTCTCTCTCTCTCTCTCTCTCTCTCTCTCTCTCTCTTGCTCTCTTTCTCTCTCTCTCTCTCTGAGGCACTAAAACACAAGGCACAGACAATTTCAAACAACTTCTCTTTAAATATTTCTCCCTTCACCCACTGATCTATCTCTGAGCCACTATATTTTTAATACCTTCAAACCTTCATCCTTTACAAGATAAACTAGACAAAGTATACATCATTCTATCCTTATAGAACCCATCATCTCTCCTGGAAGGAAAGCTGTTTCCTCCCGGGAGGTACATTCAGAAGCACCTGAGGGCCAGCATCATTTTAATGAATCTTTTGTCTATGTGAAGGACAACACTTTTTTTTTCAGAGCTGTTCTGATGGTTACTACAATGCAAACTTTTGGTTCATATTGTCACTAAATAGCCACTAATATATCAAAGCACTTAGAGAGCCTGGGACAAGCCAGGTATCATGAACAGAAGGAGCTGAGGCAGTGTAAGAAACCAAAAACCTCAGGTGAACCTGGGTTTTGACCACTGCCTGAACCTACATATCTGGACTGAATTTCTAGATGGGACTGGATTCCAGCCCTTGGTGTAAGGGACTGTTCTCAGAGAGTCTCACCCTAACCCAGATATGGAAAGAAAAGATTGTTCCTTAAGAGACTGGGCTCTTAAAATTAGAATCAGAACACAGTGAGAAGGGTGTGTGTATTCTCTGGCACGTCTACCAGATTGCACACATCATAAAGTACATATATGGCACCTCCCAATGCACATACATGTGTTCTCAGCACCTCCAATGCTGGAGAAAAACTTCTGCTCTTTACCCAGAACTATGAAGGTCAAAAACTTTATATTGGTTGCTTCAGTGTTGTGGTGCGGCTGGCTAGTTGAGGTTTGTGTGTGGTCACTTGGCAAAGATGCCTGAGGAAACCCAGACCCAAGACCAATTTTAATTTTCCAGTTAATGACCTTGATCATCAAATTTTCTATTTGAATGAAGAGATCTTTCTGAGGGAGCTCATTTCAAATTCATCAGATGCTCTGGCTAAGCTTGGGAAGGAGCTGCACATTAATCTCTTCCCAACAAACAAGAGCAAACTGATAATGGAACTGGGATGGCCAAGGCTGACTTGATTAATGACCTTGGCACTGCAGCCCAGTCTGGCACCAAAGCCTTCATTAGGCCTTGCAGACTGGTGCAGACATCTCTATGACCGGTCAGGTTGGAGTTGCTTTTTACTCTGCGTATCTGGTTGCTGAGAAAGTGACTGTGATCACCAAGCATGATGATGAATAGTATGCCCGGGAGTTCTCAGTGGCCATCATTCCAGAGAGGACTGACACAGTGAGCCAATGCTCTGGTGAACAAAGGTTATATTACACCTGAAGGAAGACCAAGCTGAGATTTTGGAGAAAAGGGGAATAGAGGAAGTTGTGAAGAAACATACTCAGCTCACTGGCTACTCCATTACTCTTGTAAGTTGGTGATGATGAGGCTGGAAAAAAAAAAAAAAAAAAGGAGATACAGAGGAAGAGATGAAAAAGAAAAGTGGTCTGATGACAAAAGAAGATGCTGTTTCCAGTTAAAAAGAAGAAAATGGTAGTGATGAGAAGAGGGAGATTAAGGAAGAGTGCATGGATCAACAAGAACTAAACTAAACAAAGCCTATTTGGTTTACATAGAAATTATTCAGAACTGATGTTAATATATTCCATCAAATACTTGCCGGAAGTATCTGCTACTCACTTATTAAAAGGGTCACATGACCAGCCAAGAAGACCTTCAGTGGTGTGTACATCCTAATAGAACTGACGAAGAGTGAATGTGATTAAGAAAGTCCTGATGGATGACATTCCTAACAGAGACTATGGAGAGTCTGCAAAAGCTTAACCAATTACTGGGCAGGAAAGCATTTTTCTGTTTTCTGTTGAAAGACTTTTTTTTTGTCCCAAGACAACGCTCCTTTTGATCTGTTTGGAAACAGAAAGAAAAAGAACAACACCAAGTTGTACATACACTGAGTTTTCATCATGGGTAACTGAGAAGAGTTAGTCCCTGTGTATTTGAATTTCATTAGAGGGCGGTGGATTCCAAGGGTCTCCCTCTAAGTATTTCCCAAGAAATGGTGCAGTAAAGCAAAAAATTGAAAGTTATCAGAAAGAGTAAGATCAAGAAATGCTTGAACTAGCCACTGAACTGGCAGAAGATGAAGAGAACTACAAAAAGTTTTATGAGCAGTTCTCAAAAAATATCAAGCTCAGAATTCAAGAAGACTCTCAAAATTGGAAGAAGCTTTTAGAGCTGTTGTGGTGCCTGGGGACAAGGTGGCTTCTCTCAAGGACCACTGCACCAGAATGAAGGAAAACCAGAAGCACATCCATTTTTATCACAGCTGAGACCAAGGACCAAGTAGCTAACTCGGCCTTTGTGGAAGTCTTTGACAGCATGACTTAGAAGTGATCTGTAAGATTGAGTCCATCAATGATACAGTGTGTCACTGCTTGAAGGAATCTGAGGGTAAGACCTTTGTGTCAGTTACCAAAGAAGGACTGGAGCTTCCAGAAGAGAAAGACAAAGTTTGAAAACTTCTACAAAATTATAAAAGACATCATAGAGGGAAAGGTTGAAAAGACAAAGTGATTGGTGAAATCTGAATGTGGTATCATCACAGCACTTATGGGTGAACAGCAAACACAGAGAGAATCATGTGAGCTCGAGCCCCCAAAGACAACTCAATGGTAGGTGACACAGCAGCAGGGAAGTCCTGGAGATAAACCCTGACCACTCCAATCTGAAACCTTAAGGCAAAAGGCAGCAGCTGACAATGACAAGTCTGTGAAGGGTCAGTTTGGAAGATCTCCAGGCACATGCTAACAGGATCTAGGATGGTCAAGCTTAGCCTAGGAACTGATGAAGAGGATCCTACTCTGGATAATACCAGTGCTTCTGTAGCTGAAGAAATGCCACCCCTCAAAGGAGATGATGATGACGCATCGCTCATGGAAGAAGTGAACCAAGTTTCACTAGAAGAACATGTGATCAATGCTTCCTTCATTCCTTCTAATAATACAGTTTCAAGGATTTGGGTAACATTTAAAATATCTGTGAGGCTTTAAAACTAAGGGAAAGATAACATTTCTCTTTGCTTCTTAGACTATGGTACTGTAGGCTTGTTTCAACAGGTTGGAAGAACTGTTGTAAGACTTAAGGTAAGCAATCTGAACTATTTAAGCAATGGAGCTGGATTCCTTAGTAGACCAAATCACTTGTCACTCAAGTGTCCTGGGATATAGCTTCATGTGTAAAAGGGGAAAAAGTATTAAGATGCCTTGAGTGTCAACTTCTAGAATCTACTTTGTAAGTTTTTTATCCCTGAGGTTAATTCTGCCTGTACTAGTCTTAGAGGTAAGAACACAAGCTGAAACAATGTAATAAGAAGTCCCATGTGGCTTCTTTTCCAAAGTAAAGTACCAAGAGCAAAACCCTAAGCTTCTCTAGGTCTTGTAATTCAGCGCAGCTTGTGAATGGAAATATAGTACCTGGTCACATTCTGCTTTAAATACAGAATAGCTATACATAGAGAAAGACAGAAATTTATTTTGCTTTCCACCAGGAATCACACTTTCTCTAGCCTTCATAGCTTTTTATTTTTAGGTTTTTTTTTTTTTTTTTTTTTTTTTTTTTAACTTTTTGGGGTGTTAAGGCAATGTCTGACTCTGTAGTTGAGCTTAGCCTGGAATTCAGGATCCCACTTCTGTCTCTTGAGTCCTGAGATTCCAGCTTTCTACTGCAGTATGTGGCTTCTATCTCTGAAAATTCAACTCAAGTACCACTTCCTGTCCAATGCCTGCCCTGGCCCTTCTGTTTGTGCCGCGTCATACTACGGCCTCCACTACCAAAGCCTGGAGCCTGATGAACAACTGTAATACTTCATTCAGTTGAGCCTTGTCCCAGGATGGTAACAGTCACCTTGAGTTCTCTCTGTGTCCCAGTACCCAACAGTGCCAGTCCTGGAGGGTGTGCTTAATCAATGTCTTTTCAATGGAAGGAAAAATCCAGACACAAGAACCAAAGAGAAGATAATGCTTTTGTTTTTCTAAATTTAACATAGTTTAACAACTCATTAACAATGAAAGGAAATAGAAAACTGGTAGATGAAAATAACCTCTTCTGAAATATTACTAATTTGCATATGACCCAGTTATATTTAGTTGGTAAAAGGCTTTGTTAGAAGCACTAATATGTCTTAGTAGGAAATCAGATTCATGGTATTTCAGAATGTATATGTATGTTACTCTATTTACTTTAAAGTACTCCTTACAGGAAATTTTTAGTTAAATATTCCCCTTGATTCTCCATTGTATTTGAGAAAAATATTTTGCTCCTTACGTAAAGAAGTCCTTAAAAATTCAGTGACATGTAAAATAGGACAGCCCAGGATGACAATGGCCCCCATGAAAATATCCCAAGAACACTCCCCTCAAGTGTCAGCACTCTCGAGGGATACTTGAGATGACATGTTAATACTCAGTACAAAAGCTTAAAATTAAGCACAAGCTTAAGAGTTCAATGAGAAGAATTCAAAGAAAGGCTCATGATGCAAATGCTGCAGAGGCAGGAAAATCCTACATGGAGAGCTCAAGGCCAGTCTGAGCTACATGGAGCCCTACCTCATAGAACCAAAATACCAAAATACATAAATAAATATATTAAAAATTCAAGTTAGACTAAAGTCCTTCTATTTTTATCAACCTCTTTCCTGATAGTCTAGGAAGAATAAACTGCAAACGGGTTGCTTGGACTTTTATTCAAACTATTAAGTTGTTTTTTTTT